ATGTTAGAATTACCCTTGGCTTCCTTTTATCTCTTGATTCACATTCAGTTCTTAACAAAAACTGAACCTTCTTTAGAAATATATTCCAAATTGAGTCCTCAATTATCATCATCACCAGTAAGCCAGTGGAGGAAGTTTGAGTGATTCTTTAAAATAGTACATATCTAACTACTAGAATGTAAGTTTCTTGAGGGAAGAGTGTTATGTCCTTTTTTCTTTTCATTTTTTTCTGCTGCTATGAAATATTTTTTTCCCCTGCAACAAAAATGTTTATGAAAAAGCAGGCACTCAGAAATTTATCATTAAATTAATGAATTAATAAGTTATTTCATGTTACCTCAGAATAATAATTTCATTCAGTAAAATCCAAAATATTTATTTTAAACAAATTAAATAATAAATTAAATAAACTGTTGGGAAGTATTCTGTGTTACACGCTAAAAGTCTCCAGAGATACAGAAATGATTAAAACACTGTCACACATTTGAACATCTCACAATAAAAGAGGTTTTCATAATAACTGAAGATAATAGTATATAAAGTTGCATCTGAATGGGAGGAATATTTTCATATATTTTACTAGATGACTAATAACTGGTTAAACAATAGAACAATTATGACAAAAGATCATTGATATGTGATAAAATAAAATAAATGGTTTACAAAGATTTCCAGTGTATGAATTAAGATGTTCAGTTATAAACAACATAATCTCAATTCAAACGCTAAACTGGTGGAGGTTTCATTGGCCCATGGTCAAACTGTTTAGAGAAATCCTTGCTCCATGGTTCTATTTTTTTACTCCTTTCAGCCCCTTTATTTGTATTTTGGCTTTGTTCACTCTTTGGATTTCTTCACGGTTACAATATAGCCTTTAGAAGCACAGCTACTTGCTTTAAGACTTTTTTTTTTTTTTAAATGTCATTGTAAAGTTTGACTATTTCACTTTTTCTTAAAACCTCTGACAAGAAATTCAGTGTCACTTAAGTCACAGACTTCTGCCAAATGGTTATTTAAGATACCTAAGAGTAAAAAAAAGCACCAAACAACCTTAAAACAATTTCTTGCGGACAAATAAACAAAAAGTGTGGGGAGAATTCCCTTTTCACTTCAGTAGACTGAAAAGAGTGATGGTAGAAAAGAGTGAGAATTATTTGGTTTCTATTGTCCCATTTCTGTGCCAAGTTGTGGTGCTGGAAATGGGCAAGGATTTCTGTGCCACAACATTCACTGTAAATGACCTTCTGGTGCAGCAGGGCTGACTCTTGAGTTTAGGCCATCCTTGTGTTCATATGATTGTGTGGGTCCTAGGTCCTTGTGCATTTACAAGTCATAAAATTCAGAGTATAGCCTTCTTATGTCATTATATTAGAGTTACATTTAGAGTCAGAGTTGCCTTCTAGAAAAAAAATAGATCAAGGAGTATGCTTCTCAGGAGCCCATAGTCAGGTACATATTCAACCTTTACATATTTTAGTACATATTCTAGTCTCTGAGAATATCTCTTCCATTTCTTTACACCCTCTGAAATCACTGGTATTTCCTTCTCTCTTCAGCATAACCCCCTGTAATGTCTTATAATTTATTATGTAATTATGTTAAGACATTAATTATGTTAATGTATTATAATTTGTTATGTTAATGTACATGCTTTGGGTTCTAAATAGTCTTCATCCTTCTCTATTCTGCACTATTCTTCATGATGCTGATCAGTGGTTCCTACATGGCTTCTACTAATAAGGTGCACCAAACAGAGATCAGAAGGTGAGAGAAGAATAAGTATGTGTTATACTTAGTCCCTCTGCTCCCTCAATGTCAGGTTGTAGGTTGGAGGTAAATATGTCCATCTACATTAAGATAATATTTAATGTCATACTATTCCATATTACGGCTACAGTTCTTCTTTCGATTAACTTCATTCTTAGCTTGCCCTTTCACTATACAGAAGGGAAACAACATCCCCCTCCCACTGTTTCCAAGCCCAGGATGATTAATCATACCTTTTTGGTTTCCCTTAACTTTCTCATATCTTTTGGTCTTGTCATTCAACTCTTCTAAATTTCTCTGAGTAAACCATTCTTTTCCTGACGAAAGCTTAGCTCATTTCCTTTTGAGTACTAAGAGAAATTCTTCAAGTATTTTAAAAAATTTTCTGCAATTACTTTATCTCACAAACTCCAGTTATTTTAAACCATTAGCCAAAATACACCCTGAACTAAACATCCCTCAGTAATTTTAGAAAATCTTCAACATTGTGTTCCCCCTGCCTGCTGACTCTGACATCAGTGATCCCTCTTCCTTTCCCACCAGATTCCACCTGTGCCTCACCTGCTCCCAGCAATGCCATTTACAACTCTTCACCACTGTTATTTACTGCTCTTAAAAAATAACATTTGTTTGCCAAGTGTCATTTCTGTAGTTGCTAAGGGAAATGCTAATTTGTAGGCATGTGTAAAAATTAACTCCTTTTTAACACTGGTTTGCTGTGGTCATTAGATATCAAATAAGTTCTCATAAACTTTATTTACTGCCTTTCTCAAAGAGGTAAGTTTGCTTCAGTTACTCTCATCGAATCAATGGAGTTTAGATCCAGTCTATATGTTAAGAAAAACTGATACGGTCATCACCTTCCTATTCTCCAATCTTTATTTTACTTTCTCCAACCCCACATTTTTTTTCTCCCAGATTCAGAATAGAAGAGTAAATGCTTGGGTTGAGGTGTGTGGTATAGTAGGCAAAACAGAATAGAAGGATTTTCTGCATTGATATTGTTTGAACTCAACCAATCTTAACCCGGAATTCTCAAAGTATGATCTCCAGATCAGCAGCATCAGCATCACTTATGAATTTGTTAGAAAAGCACATTTACAATCCCCATCCCAGACTTACTGAATTAGAAATTCCAGGGGCAGGAAACAGCTATTTGTGTTTTAAATAGCCCTTCAGGAGATTCTGATGCAACTAAAGTCTGTTGCAGCTAAAATGTAAGAATCATTGATCTAAAAAATCATATCTTCTAATATAGCAATGCACAAAAAAAATTTTAACTTAAAGGCATTTAAGTCAATGGGCTATTGTTTTTCTTATTATTTTCAGGGATTCCTTTAATAACCTTTGAGAAAAGAAAAATAGACTTCAAGGTTGATTTTTGTGATTGTTTCAACTTCATGCTTTATTAATTTATATTGACTATATCTTCATTACTTTATTTGAGTCAAAGGTAGTAAATTTTTTGACTGTCAGTGGTTAGTTTGCGAACTGGGAATTTGAAGGCTAGAAATTCTGCTTTTGAGTTTTAAAATTTTACCACATTCTTATTTATTTCTGAGGCTCAATTTTTTACTCAACATTCAAAATAGGCTATGTTCTATTTCTGCCCTGTTGAAGCAATTTTTTTCACTTTCTTTATATTTTACCCTCTATTATTCAGGGATCTAATTTATCCAAAAGTGGTGACAATGTTTTCAATGAAGTAGATATGAAATGAGCAAAATGTATGCCAAATTCCTAAAGAATGTGGGCAATCTCAACAGTAAGAACACATATAAAGGCTCATATTAATTTCACAAATAAGTTTACTTCCAAGTTGCTACAACTAACATACCTACTTGACATATTTCATTTATGTTTGGGATACCTACCTTGAATTTCTACAGCATTTGTCATATCTAATACATGCTTAACAAAAATTTCTAGATTAAACTCCATCATTTTAAAATGAAATCTATCAATTAATAACAGAATAATCAACTGAGAGATGGCAACAATGCCTTGCTTGTTTTCTCCTTGATGAAGAAATATAAAAGAAAAACTTTCTAGACAACCAGAATATTGCTATTAATAAGGGCCAGTAAAAGCATCATACTTAATTAAAAACAAAATAAATATTACATATGAATGTATATTTACCCATATTAATATAACTCTTTACCTACTTTTAAAAGCTGACCACTTTTTAAAGTAGATTCATAAAAATACTAGCACTATTAGGCTTAGAACAGATATTATAAATTAAAAGTCAATATTTTTAAAAGGATAACAATTGAATTTATTTGTAAATTAATAGAAGATTGAATGTATATACAAATTTGACTAAATGGGTTAGATCATTCAATGTCTTCATATAATGATGAACTTTCATTCTTTTTTGAAAATGTCACATTTTTAAAATCTTAATAGGTTGTCTAAACTTTGTATTTATATTTCTTTAAAACTGATGAAAATACTGTCCATTGTACATCTATGATGTGTATGCATGTTCTAAATTTCTTTTCAATGTGTTTTGTGTTTCCTGTGCCACAACTTTTAATTTTCTGCTTTTATGAATATTCTAAAATTTAAGCCTGTTTATTGCCCTTCAGTAATGCCCAATGGAACTTACTTCAAGCAGTCAGATAAAAGTCAAGCAAGTATGAAGAGTACAAATTATACTTCTTAATGGTGTGAGGAAGTACCTATAAAGCTATTTATAATGGACTAAAATTATAGGCCCAGACAACTAGGTCACTTCTGTCATTTACAAATGGATAATTTTTTTAGAAAATTCTTATTCAGATAAAGCACTCTTTCTTAAAACGCTTGCCTGAAGACTCTAAACTAAAAACTTAGGTGAGGTCTATGAATTGAAGGAAGGGATGGTTACTCTATACTTTCACAATATAACAGTAACATTGTATGTGTATAATGGAAATAGTACTGTGGTACTTACCTTTATCTTTTTTTTTCTAGACCTTCAAATATTATTTAGTTATCTTAAAAATCACCATTATAAAACAAAATATATGTTTTACAACTGATGCCCAAATTATGTCTGAGAATTTCTTAAATATGTATTCAAAATCAGTACCACAAAAATTAAGCACATAAAAACATATTTAAAAGTTTCTACTTGAACCTGAAAGAGAATACTGTATATCATTAATAAACATTTAAGCTTAAAAAAGATGTCTTTAAAAGTCATGCATTTTTATTTAATAAAATAGGAAATTAGTTAACTATACCGGCAATGATAATCTTCCTCATAGTTCATATATGTCATTATTCTTGCAAAACAATTAGTCACATGGTATTTGAAGTCTCTTACAAAGCTTGTCTGTAAATATTGGTGAACAGATGCATATGGTATCCTAGGAAAGATTAAAATGTATTTTTTATTAAAGTTTTTAGATATCTCAAAAATTATGAAATAATTCTAACATGGAAATTATTTTTATAAGCATGTAGTGTAAGTTTTCTGTGCGACATTGTGGAATATTTTATATTCCAAAATGTCAAACAATGTCTCTCATTTCAAACTCCTTTCCTAGATATGTGAATTCAACACTCTAATCGAGAATTGGGGACTATATGTCACCCACCTGAATGTAAGAAATCTCTGACTAAAAAGAAAATGATGCTCTGTGTCTTTCAGAGCTACATTTAAAAGGCCATAGAGTGTCAGTCTAATTATCTTGGAAACCAGTTCCCAAGATACAGGAGAGTTAGAGTTAGGGTTCTGGCTGATAGCTCCAGCTCCGGTCTTAGTTGGTAGCCAGGATAACTAGCACAAAGTGAGTAAAGAGGCCTTCGGGGTATAAATATGAATTCATATCATGAATTGAAATATGAATATTACTAACATAAAAAAGTTATTTGTAGGAACTATTAAATATTTATCTACTATTATTTATTTAAATGTTAAATTTAAAAGTTAGACTATAAGAATACATAATATTCAAATAACTAAAAAATTAAAAAGCAATTAATAAAAACACAAAGTTTACAAAATTTCTTTGTTTACAAGAGAGAATTGTGGTGCAAGAGCAAAATAAAACTAAATAATGCATTTTAAATTGTGATTTCTATTTAAAATGGGAAAAATTACACAAGTAGATTTCTTGAGTTTCCTGACTTTGAAAATTATAATAAATTAATGAAAACTATAATTATTTGTATTTTTAAAATAGTGTGATAATTGTAAAAAAAAGTTTTAAAACCACTTTCTTATATGTAAGATTCAGACTTACATTTGCAATGTCAGTGCAGTCAGCACCATTTTGACATGGTTTCTATAAACACTTATTGACATCAGTTTCACAGTTTTGATTGAGAAATCCCCCTGGGCACACACACATATAAGCAGAGCTTTTATTTTGGTAAATTCCTCTTTTCCAACCTGATGGAGAAAAACAGCATTCCAGTAGTTCTTCACAGAATGGACCTTGAAAGATGACACACATAAAAAGAAAATATGAGCATATATATGTAGCAAGTTTATTATAAAAAATGTCTAGAATTCATGGACTTTTTTAACCAGATTTTTCATGGTATAATTTATATATCATAGTATTAATCCATTGCAAACCAATAATTCAATACCTTTTGCAAATGTATGGTGCTATTCAACCACAGGCACTATTCAGCTTTTAACACATTTTCATGACCCACAGGAGAGCTCTTTTATGCTCACTCCTTTTTTCCATCTCCACTGCCAGGCATCATTAATCATTCTGTCTCATAGATTTGCATTTTCTGGGCATTTTACATAAATATAATCGTACAATGCATTGTCTTTTGCCATTGGCTTCTTTTGCTTAACATAAAAATTTTGAGGACTGTTGATGTTGTATCATGTATCAGAGTTTTGTTACTTTTATTACCAAAGAGTAATTCACAGAACATTTCGCTTATTCATTGATCAGTTAACGAACCTTTGGGTTGTATAAAACATTTTATGTTGTATAACTGAAACTAATATAATGTTAGATATTAATTATATCTCAACAAAAAGGTACAAAATGGAAACAACCCAAATGTTTGGATTGTATAAAAACATTGTATGTTGTATTACTGAAACTAATATAATGTTAAATGTTAATTGTATCTCAACAAAAAGGTACAAAATGGAAACAACCCAAATGTTCATTAACTGATCAATGAATAAGCAAAATGTTTTGTGAATTACTCTTTGGTAATAAAAGTAACAAAACTCTGATACATGATATGACATCAACAATCCTCAAAATTTTTCCACTTTGTACCTTTTTGTTAAGATATAATTAACATTTAACATTATATTAGTTTCAATTATACAACATAAAATGTAAATATTGAGAAATGATAACATTTAGTTAACATTCATTACCACACATAGTAACATTTTTTTCGTGTGATGAGAACTTCAAGATTTGCTCAGAAACTAACTTTTATAAATAATGAATTCATACTCAAGAATTTGCATGGATATACATTTTTATATCTCTTAGAGTCTTAGTGGTAGAATTGCCGAGGTTTATGATAAATTTATGTATAAATTTTTAAGAAATTATGAAACTGTTTTTGCAATGTGGCTGTACCATTTCACATTCAAACCAACAATGAAGGAGATGTTCTGTTTCTCCCCATTTTTGCTAACATTTGATATTGCCTAACTTCTTTTTTTATAGCCATTCTAGCAGGTGTACAATAGGATCTCCTTTTGCTTTCAATTTTCATTTCCATAAACGTAACAATTTTGTATATCCTCTCATAGATTCAACATCCATTTGTACATACTCTTGAATGAAATTTCTATTTAAATATGTAGTCAGCTATTTTTAAATTGTATTAATTTTCTCATTATTGAGTAGTGAGTATGCTTTGTATTGTAAATACAATTTCATTATGACATATGTGACTTGCAAATATTTTCTCCTTGTCTTGCTTTACCTTTTCTATTCATTTTCTCAGTAGGTGCATTTTAGGTAGAGAAATTTTCTTTTAAGTCTAAATTATCCATTTTTTAAATTAAATGTCAATTTGTAATATTTCTTTTACATATCCTGCTTTATCATGCTTTTTGTGTAATATCAAAGAAAGCTTTGACTAACTAATGGTCATAAAAATTTTCTTTTATGTTTTACTAGAAATTTTATCATTTTAACTCTTACATTTAGATCTCTCAAATGTTTGAGTTAATTTTTGTATGGTGTGAAATAAGGATATGATATTTCATATACAAATATATCTGTGTTTATATATACACACACACACACACGTATATAATATTTTACATGTTGATAGATAACTGTCCTAATAAACTATTTTGAAAAGAACATTTTTTATTTCATTTACTTATATAATTGCATTTTTTCCATTAACCATTTATCCCCCTTATAACTCCTCCCCCCTGCAATCACCACACTATTGTCCATGTCCAGGAATCCTTTCTCTTTTCTCCTGGTTTCCTCTACCTTCTAACTTCTCACAGCTGTCTTCCTGCTCTCTATCTATGAATGAGTCTGACTCTAATTGATAGTTCAGTTTATTCATTAGATTCCATATACGATGTTCATAATATGGTAATTGTCTTTCTCTGACTGGCTTATTTCACTTAGCATACTGTTCTCCAGGTCCATTCATGCTATTGCAAAAGGTAAAATTTTATTCTTTTTTACAGACAAGTAATATTCCATTGTGTATATGTACCATAATTGTTTTATCCACTCATCTACCAATGGACACTTGAGCTGCTTCCAGATATTGGCTATTGTAAATAATGCAGTAATGGACATAGAGGTGCTTATGTCCTTTTGAGTTAGTGTTTTGTGTTTCTTCAGCTATATTTGCAGAAGTGGGACTGCTGGGTCAAAAGATGCATCCATTTTTAACTTTTTGAGGTATCTCCATATTGCTTTCCACAGTGGCTACAACAATGTGCATTTCTACCAACAGAGCAAAAAGGTACTCTTTTCTCCACATCCTTGCCATACTTGTTCATTGATGTATTGCTGATAGCCATTCTGACCACTGTGAGTACTGTCTCATTGTGGTTTTAATTTGCATTTCTCTGATTATTAGTGATGTTGGGCATCTTTTCATATTTCTATTGCCATCTGTATGTTCTCTTTGTAGCAGTGTCTATTCAGTTCCTTTTGCCCATTGTTTAAATTGAATCATTTGTTTATTTGGTTTTGAATTTTATCAGTTCTTTATAAATGTTGGATATATACCCCTTATCAGATATATTGGTGAATATGTCCTCCCATTCTGTCTTTTTTATTTTTATTTTTTTGATGGTCTCTTTTGTTGTTCAAAAAATTTTACTTTGATGTAGTCTCACTTGTTTCTTTTTTTCTTTGTGTCCCTTACAGGAGTGGGTATATTAGAAAAAATATTGCTACAAGCAATCTCTGAGATTTTATTGCCTATGCTTTCTTCTAGGATTTTTACGGTTTCAGGTCTAATATTTAGGTCTTTAATCCATTTTGATTTTACTCTTGTGCGTAGTATAACAAGGTGGTGTAGTTTCATATTTCTGCCATATCTCTCCAATTTCCCCAACACTGTTTATTGAATAAACCATATTTAGCCCATTGTATATGCTTGTTTTCCTCTTGAATATTAATGGATAAAAAAATGTGTAGGTTTATTTCTGGGCTCTCTATTCTGTTCTATTGATCTATGTGTTTGTTTTTATGCCAGTACCATGTTGTTTTGATTTTTATGGTCTTATACTACAGTTTGATATTAGGTAGCATGATTTTTCCAACTTTACTCTTCTTTCTTAGGATCATTGTTGCTATTGTGGGGCCTTTAGTGGTTAAATATAAATTTTTGAAATATTTTTTCTAATTCTGTGAAATATATCATTGGTATCCTTACAGGAATTATGTTGAATCTATATATTTCTTTGAGTAGCATGAACATTTTAATTATGGTAATTCTTCCTATCATGAATATGGTATGTGCTTCCACTTATTTGTATTTTTTTGAAATTTCTTTCTACGGTGTCTTATTTTCCCAGTGCAAATCTAACTGCATTTTTGGTTAGATTTATTCTAGGTATTTTATTCTTTTTGAAATGATTGTAAATGGGACTGTTTTCTTAATTTCCCTTTCTGATAGTTCATTATTGGCATACAAAGATGCAACTGATTTCTGAATACTAATTTTGTATCCTGCTATTTTGAATTCACTTATCAGTTCTAGTCAGTTCGTGGAGGACTCTTTAGCTTTCTAATAGAGTATCACATTGTCTGCAAATAAAGACAGTTTTAATTCTTCCTGTCCAATTTAGATACCTTTAATTTATTCTCATCTGATTGCTATGACTAAGACTTCCAGTGCTATGTTGAATAAGAGGTGAAAGCAGACATCTCTGTCTTGTTTTTAATCTTAAGAGGAATGTTTGTAGTTTTTTTCCCATTAAGTATGATGCTGACAGTACATTTGTCATATATGGCCTTTATTATATTTAAGTATGTTCCCTCTATTTTGACTTTGCAGAGAGTTTTTATCATAAAATGGTGCTGGATTTTTATCAAATGCTTTTTCTGCACTTAATGATATGACCATGTTGTTTTTATCATTCATTTTTTTTTTACATGGTGAATCACATTTACTGATTTGAGAATGTTGTACCAGCCTTGCATTATCAGAATAAATTCCGCTTGATCAATGTATGTGATCTTTTTGATGTACTGCTGTATTTGGTTTGTTAATATTTTGTTGAGGATTTTAGTGTCCATGTTCAGTAAGGACATTGGCCAATAATTCTCTCCTAGTTCATCTACCTGGTTTTGGAATTAGGATAATGCTGGCCTTATAATATAAGCTTGGGAGTCCCCCATTCTCTTGAAATTTTTGGAATAGAATGAGAAGTAGAGGAATCAGTTCTGAGAATGGTAAAATTTCCCTGAGAAGCCATCTGCTCCATGACTTGTTTTTTGGCAGTCTTTTAATAGTGCTTCAATTTCACTAGGTACAATCTGTCTATTAAAATTCTCTGATTCTTCCTGATTTAATTTTAGAAGGTTGTATGTTTCTAGGAATTTATCTTTTTCTTCCAGATTATCTAATTTGTTGGTATATAGTTGTTGATAATATTTTCGCACAATTCTTTATATTTCTTTAGTGTCAGTTATTATTTTTTCCCTTTCATTTCTGATTTTATTTATTTGGGTCCTCTCTTTTTTTCTTGATGAGTCTAGTTTAAGGGATTGTCAATATTGTTTATCTTTTCAAAGAACCAGCTCTTGGATTCTTTGATCTTTTTATCTTTTTTTTTTTCTTTTAGACTCCATTTCATTTAGTTCTGCTTGGATCTTCGGTATTTCCTTCTTTCTATTCACTTTGGGCTTTGTTTATTGTTCTTTTTCAAGTTGTTTTAAGTGTAAAGTTAGATTGTTTTTTTTCTCAACATCAAACCAGTGCTGCAACAAATGTTAAATAAATAGAAGA